ATATATATATATATATATAATTACAGCTTACTCTTCTGGACGAGGACCTGTGTGTAGACGAATGCCCGCAGCTCGGCCAGGCACACCTCGAGGTGGTTGTTCATAAACACGTGCTGGAAGAAGTCGGGGTGGGCCGCACACCACGCCAGCCACTTCGCACTCTCCCGCAGGCGCCGCTGCAGCGTGAAGTCGGACTCACTCCCGCGATCCCGCAGCCGCCGCTCCAACACCGTAATGTCTGGGCTCTTCACAAACACCACCGTCACCCGCAGGGGTCTTCCCTCCGGATAAGAATGATGATGATGATTATTATTTTTATTATTATTATTATTATTATTATTATTATTATTATTATTATTATTATTATTATTATGAACAGTTGCTATTCCGTTGGATAAAGTGAATGCATCTCGTTTGCATGTTTGACAATATCTTTTAATGTTTTTAGCGCCGGTGATGTCTGTGTCCATCACGACTATTTTGTGTTGGGCGAGAATGGCATGCATTTCCTTCTTGGAAGTGCCATAATAATCCGCATCATCCAAGGCTGTTGTCCCCATACCACTATTACTATTACTATTATTATTATTATTATTATTATTATTATTATTATTATTATTATTATTATTATCTCTATTTGTAGCTTCTTTTTCTTCTTTTTCTTTTTGTTTGGTTGAACTAAACACTCGGTTGTATTCCACAAAAAGATCATCGTGAATCATTTGACGAAATGTCTCCTTCTTCACAAAGTGATAGTGTTGACCGTCGACTTCCCCCGCCCGCGGCTTACGGGTGGTGTGGCTTGTGCAGAAGGCGAAGTACTGCGGCCACTTGTGCAGTAAATGTTGGATGAGTGTTGACTTGCCACTGCCGCTGGGCCCAACAAAGATCAGAACGTCCGTTAAGGGTTGCATAGCTTCTTTACAAAACAGATACATATATATATATATATATATATATATATATATACGTTCAGAGAGAGAGAGAGAGAGATATTGTGAGAGAATAAGAAAAGAATACAGATATAAATATATAAATATATATATAGTGATAACTATATATATAGAGATGTAGTTATAATCACCATTGTAGAGTCATGGATGATGATAATAACATAAATTAATAATCACAATAATCATCATAATAATAATAGTAACAATAATCATAATCATAATCATCACAAAGGAAATCAATAAAATGAGAAATAAGAAAAGTAAGAAAAGAATAGAATAAGGCCCAGAAAAGAAAAAAAAAAAGAAAAATGTAAAAAAAGAAAAAAAAGAGCACCCAAATCCTATTGAGAGTTTTTTTTTTTTTTCCTTTCTTTATTATTATTATTTTTTTTATTTCTTTCTGCCCTTTTTGTGTTTTTTTTTTTTTTTGTTATTTTCATTCCTTTCTTTTTCTTATCTGTTTTTATCATTCTTCTTCTTCTTGCTGTTCATGCATTAATCAAATCGAAAAACAACAACCACAACTATCACAACAACAACAACAACAACAACGCATATTCATATATATATATATATATATATATATATATATATATATATATATATATATATAAACTTCTGTCTTTACACGACTCCATCATCACAGCAAGCGGAGTGCGTCTCCCACTCTCTTTCTCTCTCTTCTGTATTCTCTCTCCTTTTTTTTTTCATTTCTTTCAGATAAGAAAAAAAAAAAAATGGGTCTGAGAGCAGTTGCAGCAGCAACAAATAATAATAATAATAACAATAGTAGTAGTAAAAGTAATAATAACAGTAACTGTAAAAGTATAGAGAAGGGAAGAGAAATGAAAAAGAATAAAAATAAAGGGTAAAAAGTGAAAGAAAAAAAACGAAGTTATTACGCGAGATCAGAATATACGTGTGTGAAAGAAATATATATATATATATATATATATATATATATATATATATAGTATAACACGCAATTTTATTTTCTTTTTATTCCTCTTCTCTTCTCTTCTCTCTTCTCCAATCTTTGCTATTTATCCGTTGCTATTACTACGGTTACTATCATTATTAATACTCCTAATGATTACTACCAATCTCATATTATTATTATTACTATTATTATTATTACTGCCGCTACCGCGTTATTGTTGTTGTTGTTGATGTTGTCGTCTCCCATCCTTTTTCTTTTTCTTCTTTTTTTTTCTCTCTCTCTCTCTCTTTCTCTTTCCAATGTTCTTCCTCTTCTTCTTTCTTCTTCGCTATTTTCACACACAGTCAGTCACACAGTCACACAAAGTTTAAACCTTCTTTACAACCTGCACAACGTCCTCATCCTCCAGCACGTGATCTTTCCCCACCCGCTGCGGCTGGTGCTTCACACTCGATCCCCACACCCACGCGTATTTAAAACTCTTCATCATCTGCCGGTGGAGGCGAACACAGAAACGCTCCACTGTTGGCGGTGGGAGTTTTTTCAAAATAACGGGTTCATCATAATCCGGCATTTGTCCACGTGGTTTGGTGTAGAGACGAACAAAGTGAAGATGATCCCAAATACACTCCAACAAACCATCCAGATTCCATCCATGATGGGCACTGATGGGGCAGTTGTGTGGAAGACGGGCAACAATGTCCAGCTCCTCTATACTGATCTGATCAATCTTATTCAGTACATAGATACAGGGAATATAAATACGATTACCCTCAATCACATCAATGAGTTCATCTGCGGAATAATCCCCACGCAACATCACATCCGCATTACTCATACGATATTCCGCAAGAATGGCTTTAATCGTCTCATGATCCATCTGTGTGAGTGGACAGGTGGAGGCGATGCTAATTCCACCACGATCCTTTTTTCGAATCTCAATATTTGGCGGTTGTTTATTAAGACGAATTCCAAAACCATCCAACTCCCGCTCAATAATGAGTTTATGCTGTAATGGCTTGGCAATATCCAATACAATAAGAATAAGTGAACAGGTACGAGCCACAGCAATAACTTGACGACCACGACCTTTACCATCTTTCGCTCCTTCAATAATACCAGGAAGATCCAACATTTGCAGTTTAGCCCCGCGGTAACGCACAACACCGGGAACACATGTAAGTGTTGTGAACTCATACGCCGCCACCTCAGAGTGAGTGGAGGTGAGTTTAGTGAGAAGTGTGGACTTTCCCACTGAGGGGAATCCAATAAACCCAACACGAGCATCTCCGGTCTTCTGCACATCAAATCCCTCGCCTTTACCACCGCCCTTTTTAGAGTCGGAGGCGATGAGTTCACGTTTTAATTGGGCGAGGCGGGCCTTCAATTGACACAAGTGAGCCATCGTGGCCTTATTCTTCTGTGTTCGGGCGATCTCCGCCTCAATGTCGTTTATCTTCTGTAGATTAGACATGATGGCGGTTGTTGGGAAGTGTGAGTGGGGAAAGGGGGGACGGTCTTCGTTGGCGTGAGTTTAGTTTGTGCTTAAGGGAGTATAGTGTGGGGTGGGGTGGGTAATCATAATAATAAGAAGAAAATAAAAAAATAAAGAAATAAAGAAGAGAGAAAAGTGAAGTGAGTAGAAGCAAGAAGAAAAATATATATATATATATATATATATATATATATATATATATATA